AAGGTCCGAGAGGAGCTGGAGATGGAAGAGAGGCTACCGTCTTCCACCGAAGAGAAAGCATGATCGTAATCATTATCGAGCTGTAATGTATTCGGGCCAACTTCCAGTCTTTATACAGCGATAATGACTTTGGGTGTATTCTATTATTCGGGGGAAGGCGGTAGCGTGAGAGCACAGGAATGAACGTGCAGTGAAGATGCGGTGAAGATTCAGTGAAGCAGTCGCCTGCGCAACTGCCCTATCCACGCAGCCGTGCGAGTCCCTCAGAGACCGGCTGTCCCCTCAAGCAGAGCTCGTGCAGTGATCCATCCATCCATCCATCCATCCATCCATTCATCCATCCATCCATCCATAGCTTGTAGTCTTTCGACTGACTGTGGCAGCGAAGCTCAACCTTCGAAGAGAAGGAGAGGGAGAAGAGAGAGAGACAGGAAGAAGTGGAAAGAGAGGAGAGAAGAGAAGAGAGAGGCGGCATGGGCAACCTTTGAAGAGAAAGAGAGAGAAATGCAGAGAGAGAAATGCAGAGAGAGAAATGCAGAGAGAGAAATGCAGAGAGAGAAATGCAGGGAGAGAGACGCAGAGGGACATAAAGAAGGAGAGAGAGAGCGAGGACGAGAAGATCCAGGCCATGACGGAGAGAGCCACAGCAGCAGAGTTCCCCGACTCTGCCGAATCATCCTCTCCTCTCTGCGGGCCAGCGAGTAACGTCACGTGGGGTCACGTCTCGCCTCGCCTAATGCCGGTGTCCCGGCTACCGTCCTCACTCGAATAGACCGGCCGGTCATTATCCCTATATCCAGCCGGAAAGTTGAGCAGCTATAACGACCGGGCGTTCTACTCGGGTGAAGACGGTGCCTGCTGCAGCTTCGCGGATGACCGCACCAGGCATCACTTGCCGGCTGCATGGAATGACTAAGTACTACAGTAATTACTCCGCGCATAAGTATCAGTTGCCGTCTGCATGGAAAGGTTAATTACAAATTAATCCACTCACGTACGTACGCGGACCAGCGTATCCGGCTCGGCTTGCAGGCACTTCCCGCCATGCCACGTGTCAAATGGATGGACTGATCGGACATAGCCGAAAGCAGGGACTGCTTCTTGTTCGTTATTAAGACCGATGTCCTGATCGGTTCCCCTTCCTTCATGTCTATTATGTATACCTCTCTGATAAAACGGATTGAAAAACGAAAAAAGGGATATCTTTTTAGAGGTGGCATGACGGCAAATGTGAGAGAACGGCCGGCCCGCGCCCCCCCCCACCCCCAACCCCCCCACTCCGACGACCGACACACTACGCGAAGAAGCAGCGATGAAGAGAGGGAGAGGGAGCAGATGGAGGAGATGGAGGGGATGGAGGAGAGGTCGGAGAGGGCGAAGAGGCCGGACACATGCAGCTGTTTAGACTGCAGTGGGAACGCACCTGTGGGGCAACGGTGGGGGCCAAGGCCGCAGTAGCCGCGTAAGACGTCGACGCCATGGCGATTGCCGGTAGCGCGCTAGCTATGGCTGTTGCAATAGCGATGGCCGGAGGGGAGGTCGACGCGCGGAGGCAGGACCACTAACTTCTTTCTCTCCCGTTCCTATCCGCTTATAGATGGATAGGAAAGAACAAGGTGCGTGGCGGGCTGGCCGGGTGGCGGACTGGCGGACTGGAAAACGAAGGACTGAATGGCCGTGGAGCGCTCGCGCGGCTGTGCGGCGAAGAGAGGAGGAGAAGGGTCGATGCATGCGCCCTGAAAGAGCGGCACCGGAGCGCCTGTCGCACACCCAGTGCCGCGCCCACTGTTTCACATGGCCATCCCATGGTTCACTAATCGCCGTTGACAATCGCGCCTAATCCGTCGACTGCGCGGCGCCCGTCGCACACTCGCTAGCAGACTCCGGTACACCACAGCCGTTTGTTCCCTCCGCTGTGGATATAAAAGAGAAGCCGAGCCTTCCGACTGGATCACCTCCCAGATTGAAAACTAGAGGCCGGTGATTAGCGACCAAAGAAAAACCCCGCCTTGACCAGGAACCGGTTTCTAAACATGTATACATTACGTTACACACACACATATATATAAAAGCTGAAGTTCGGAAAATCAACAAGCAAACGATTTCAGAAAAAAAACGAAAAGGCTGTACCAGTCCCTCATCACGGTGATGAGGGATGAGGGACTGGTGCAGCCTTGCTCTTGCACCACTGCTGTGGTGCCAACCTACCCCGTGCGCTACAGTAGGGAGAGATACGGGTTGGTTGGTGTTCCCTCGTACTATACATATAGCTTACAAAAAAAAGAAAAAAGGAAAAAAACGAAAAGCAAGGGACGAGGAAAAGGGGGACAGGATTTGCTAATAGGCGACATAGGTGACATATGAGAAGGACGGAAGTTAGGACGGTGCTTTTCTCTTTCATGGTTAGCTGATGTTTCCTTTTGCAACTTGGATTTCGTAGTACTGGGAGGGCGCGGTCTCGGTAGCTGGATGACTGTGGTTGGGGATGGGTTGGCCGGAAGTGCCTTTCTCAGCCTCGGGTGGCTGCAGCATCTATGTGAGGGACACCGGGCCCGTTTCCCGGTTTTAATGAAAAGTTGTTTTTTTAAAAAAAAAGAAAAGGGGGACAGGAACCGAGAAAACGCGAAGGAGGACAGAACACAGAAAACGCGGGGAGGGCGCCACACGCATATCCACGAGTGCATGAAAGGCGCCGCTTGAATGGAACCCACTGTGTGGAGGTTTAGTCCTGGTTTCGAGTATTATTCCACATGGTCACACTCTGGCCGTAGGATCTTCAGATCGGATGGCAGGGACCCCTGGATACGAGAAACCAGAACTAAACTTCAAGTGGGGCACGCCCGCGCTTCTTTCCTGGCCCTTCGTTTTTTTTTTTGCCGTGGAAACCCTGCCTTCTTCGAAGGGCAAGCGAGGTCACGCACACATCCAACTTCCAGGGGACTTGCGCGCGTGCGCGTTTGACGTTTCTGGCCGTAGATTATGGATCGAGGCCACAGATGAGAAAAGCGCGCAAGCGGTACCCCGTAAGAAAGCAGGAGGAGCCCGAACCATATCTGCCCCGTTGATTGATTGATTGTCAGCCGCTCAAATGATGGATCTGCATTGCTGACAATCGACGACTGGCTCTGGAATGAACTAATCCTGAGGCCATCTGGTCGATGAACGAAGCCAAATTCGAGTACAAGTTCAATCGTGTTGCTTGTGAGCACGACGTGGCCATATTATGGCCACGTGTACTTAGGGTTGGAGCCTGAACGACCAAGGCTCCGAACACAACGCACCCTCATATTAAAAATAAATAAATAAATAAATAAAAATGTATATATATAGACCATGATTCTGGGCAGATATAGGGTCATGATGAGGGTGCGTTGTGTTCGGGGGACGGCAATTTCGCTCCAGAGCCAGGTCCCTCTTAGCCCAGCTTGGCATTCACGACCGTCGATTAGGAGGATCAACGGAGAGAAGAACGCAGTCCAGCTCAAGATGTTCAACGTGGATAGAGATTCGTTCCCCCCAACCGCATGATGCATGATGGTAATGCTGGGACATGGTCCCACTCAAGAGGCTGCTCACTTCTGGTGGCTCCAAGAAGCCCAGGGTAGATTCACCGCTGGAATGGAGTGGAGCTTGCTGAGGGGTTTCTGCTGCCACAGGCCCACATGGAAAGCTGCGCACATCCTCCCTGATTGATAGCTATTCTCACTCATCTGGTTGCATTGCTGGTTGCATGGGAATTCGAACTCAGATCCGGATTCCAAGAGTTCGTGGGAGTACCAACTGAGCTAGGCCAGTTTGCAGCGTGGAGGGCTGCCCTTTTGTTTTTGTTTTTTTTTTAAAACTACGCTATATTCTTCTCTCAAATCTTTCATCATCTTTCAAATTCTTTCAAGTTCACCTTCACTACCTACCTACCACTACTCCTAAGGCTTAGACAGGGGACCCCTGCAAACATAGCTTTGTTGTCTCCCTCCAGCCATCAGAGGGGATGCATGTTGCCCCCCCCCCCAACCATGGTGGTCAAGGATGTGGTGGGGCCGCCGGTGGGGGTTACCCTCGAGTCTTTTTCCTTTTTTTTTCTCTCTTTTTTCGTCGTTTGGTTACCCAAATGGTCATTGGAAGGGGGTTAAAATTGCAGGCAGGGGCTTCTAGGGATGCGGGCAGGCCTTATAGGTGAGGACCGGTATTGGCCGCGGTCCTGGGAACCAAAAAAAAAACAGGGCCTTTCCGGAATAGAACGGCACTTCCAATAAAACGATCATGCGTTATATTTGAATACACCGCATATGATGTCTAAAAAACAGGGCCTTTCCGGAATAGAACGGCACTTCCAATAAAAAGATCATGCATTATACTTGAATACACCGCATATGATGTCTAGTTGAATTTCGAAAAAAACAAACTCTTGTATTCGAATAGAACATTCCCCTTTTATTTTTTGAAGTTAGTGCCTGCCCTTGTGCTCAAGGTCACTACCACGCTGCGTGCTCTCTCTCTCTCTCTCTCTCTCTCTCTCTCTCTCTCTCTCTCNCACACACACACACACACACACACACACACACACACACACACACACACACACTCACTCACTCACTCTCACATACACCCTGTCACATACGCAGGCACACACACACACACACACAATCTTGGAGTTGTGTATGTAGAACATGACAAACCACATCAACAGACAAACTACAGGCTGCGCACACGTGGTTGATAGGGGCTAGTACCGTCTTCCCCGAACATAGGCATCATAAATGAATACAATGTACAATTCTACTCGATATGCGTTCTATTCGAACAGCCAGAATATTCAAACGAATCATATTCGAGGCATCATTTTTTAGAAGGGGAAGACAGTAGTTGACTTTCCTGTAGCTTTTGAGGCAGTAATTTGTGTTGTAGGCTTGTAGCCCATCTGCATTCACAGGAGGTGTTGTCAAGCACACCGCCGTGGGCTCCCACTTACTGGGATTACCCATTTCCGGATATAGATAGCATGGACCTTGTCTATCAGATGCCTGGCGGTCAAACTCTTGCCGTGCATTCAGTGTCCTGACGATTGTTCCTCCCGGGTTGAAAACGACTCACACATCACCCTCTCTGCGCATGATCGGCACACGCATGTTTTTTTCAAGCGATTCCCATTGCCATTAGCTGCCTACTAATTGGGCTGTGCCCCACTTGCGGATGTTTGGTTTCGAGTCTTTCGACTAGTTTGATCAATTGCATCTGTGAGATTTTCAGATCGAATGGAAGGGAGCGGTGTACACTTGCAACCAGAACTAAACATCTGCAAGTGGGGCGCCACCACGGTTTCATATGAAAACCCAACACATTCAACCACCAGTACGCTCCGAGCCTCTTTTTTCGGATGCTAAGTTATGTCGTGCCGGGGGAAAACATCTGTTTGCGCACTGGCCTAGCTCAGTTGATACACCCATGAACTGTTGAGATACCAGATGAGTGAAAATAACTCTGAGTTTACCTGGCGCCAGTAACGTCAAATGACATCTGAAGGCTGTCCCTCTTTTAGACCAGCAGTACTTTTGACCCTCCCCTTGCTAGGCTTGCCGAGCCTTGAAGGGCATTGCGAGGTGGAGTCTCAGGTCGGAACTGGGATTTCCAGTGTCAAGGTTCTAACGACAAAGATCCAAATGGGTTCGGATGAAGAAGCCTTAGGGGCTTTCTCAGTTTGCGGCCTTCATGGCCAGGTACTCAGGATGGCCTGTTGGCACCTAGGATTAGTCCCTAGGTGGTGTTCTTAAAGTTTAGCTTCGGTATAAGCCTGCCAGACGGTAGGGGTAGTCGTGATCGAAAAGAGACACCGAATTTCATGCCATGGATTCACGCTAAAGATGTTGTTCCTATCCGTGCAAAAATATATCTACAGCTGAGACGGGGGGGTGACGGACCCACCGGGATGGCGGTCAGTCAGGATCAAGACGAAGGGATGAGGATGGAGGAGATGGAGATGGAGATGGAAGGGACAACGCAGCTCCAACGCAGACTCAACACACACGTACTCCAAATTGTGCAAAATGAAGAATGAGGTGAAGCAGATTGCAGTTGCGGTATACCCCTAGCGGATTGACTGGGCTGAACTGGACTGGCCTGGTACCGACAGTGGTATCGAGCACGACTGGACTGGACTGAGTGAGCACACGGCCTGTGGGGTCAGCCCTTGGCCTGGTCACACAGGCCGAACAGGCAAAGTAGCCCGTAGGCCATGGCTGTAGGCTAGGGTGGAGAGAGGCCCGTTGCACAATCCCTAGACTTGTAGTGGATCGCAAAAACAATAAACACGCTATCCGCAAAAACAGTGAAACTCTACAATAAAAAAAGCTGATTCTTGAACTTCTTCATAGATTTCAGATTGTTCTTAGCCGAAGCCAGGTAACGGCCCTGGTACTTCCAATCATTGTATAATTCTATATGGGACGTTGGCCCCAGTTCCCAGCACGTGTTGCTCGCCACGAATAGATTGGAGCATTGTCCCACTTTAAAAAAAAAAAAAAAAAAAAAAAAAAAAATCACTGAGAAACCTAGGGTGCAGAGCAAGCTCCATGAGTCCATGCGATGTAGCCTGAGCTACAAAATGTCAAATGAAAAGCCAGTGTCTGGTATACGCATCCTAACTAAGAACAGAAATGAAATGTAGCAAGATACAATTCTAAGGTCCAGAAGGTAATTGCCTCAGTGCTGAAAGTAAAAGATAGCAATGTGTCACAAGACAATGTCGTGTCGCTGAACCACTAAGAGTGAGATGGTCTCAGAGGGGGTGAATGCAGCCTAAGAATCAAAACTTCTAAGGGAAGCCACACACAAAGGTGGGGTAGGTCATCAAGCTCAG